ATACTTGCAAGCACGGTATTGAATGTGAATCTCTTTTTACATCTATAGTTTATCCCGAACAAGGACCCGACCGAAAGGCTCAGGCACAAGACACGGGTAAAATGAAGGCGTATTATTATCAACTGTCCAAAGCCGAGCTAGTAAGCGAACTCCAGACCCTCGGGCTCGACACCGAGGGCACGCTCGAAGAGCTCCGCAACCGATTAAGCCAATTTATCGACGCCCATCCCGAGATGTTCCAGAAAACCGCGTTAGAGAACGACCCCCCGCCGCTTCTGACACTGACCGTACCCGCCGCGACATCACCGGTAACCATAATTCCGGCCGACCGCCCGGCACCCCCCGCACCTCCCACTACCCAGATCATGGACCAAATGCAAAAATGGGGACTACACTTTGAAGGAAAGGATCCCTGGGCGTTTCTCGAGCGCATCGACGAACTTCGCGCCGCGTACGAATTCTCGGACGAACACTGGCTCCGCGGATTACCCGAACTCCTGCGAAAAGACGCGCTCCTCTGGTACCGTAACAACCGCGACGGATGGTTCGATTGGCACGACTTTATCGCGGACTTTAAGGAAACATTCCTACCGCGCCGGTACCGATTGCAGCTCGTTAACGAGATCCGCGACCGTACGCAGCGGGACGGAGAGGCCTACATGAAATACGCGACACACCTACTCACGCTCATGCGACGGGCAGGGGGATACTCCACCGAGGAGCAGGTCGAGCAATTATACGAAAATTTGCACCCCGACTACCAGAGCCGCATCTGGCGAGGCGACGTTAATAGCTTTCGCGATCTCCAGCAGCGAGCCAGCGAATACGAAAGGCTTCAGCAAAATCGAAAGAAACGCGCCCCCGCGAAAGCCGATACCGCCGAAACGCCAATCGCCGCCGCCGCGTAGAACCGACGGGAATGCTGCTGGAAGTGCAAACAACGGGGACACACCCGATTCGATTGCCGTCGACCCGCGCGGAAATTCTGCTCTCAGTGCGGCAAGGATGGAGTTTTCACAAAGGACTGCCATCCCCCGCCGGGAAACGCTGCCGGGACCGCGGAAACCCCGGCCGCCCCCGGTCCTCGACCTAAAATTTTTCCCGCGGCCGCACCTCGACATCCAGGTGAACGAGAAACCACTCATGGCACTACTCGATACGGGATCCGAAATCTCTTTCATAGACGAGAACACCGCGCGACTCGCGCAAAACCTAGGCTTTGCAATCGTCCCCGACGAAGAGGAGGTGCAACTAGCCAACGGCCACCGCATCGTTCTCCCCGGCCGCGTCCGGCTACCCGTCCAAACCACGAGACGCACGATCTGGCATGAATTTTCAATCATGCCGAACCTAGCGAGCGCAGTACTCCTCGGAGTAGATTTTTGGGCAAAAATCGGTCTCGCAGTACCCGCGCCAGCCAAACCGATAACGCCGCAAACCATCCCCGGGACGGCCGCGACCGAGGGGATTGCACCACGCACACCGACCGAGGAAATACGGTTACGAGAATTCCTCGAGCAAGAATTACCGCTGTTCGCAACCCTCCGCGGACCCACCGACCGAACGGCGCACGACATCCGCCTGAAACCGACCGCCACCCCGATCAAACAAAGATACCGGCCCCGTAACCCGGCCATGCAGGCCGTTATCGACAGCGAAGTCGAGAAAATAGAGCGGGACGGAGTAATAGAACGCTCCCACAGCGCCTGGAGCTCGCCCGTAGTCGTGGTTCGAAAGAAGGACGGCAGCTACCGATTTTGTATAGATTTCCGGAGGGTCAACGACGCAACCGAGCCCGACGCCTACCCACTGCCCCAGATTACCGCCACCCTCGATAAATTACGCGGCGCGAAATACCTTACCACGCTCGATCTGAAGAGCGGTTACTGGCAGATGCCGCTCACACCGTCCAGTCGACCCATCACCGCGTTTACGGTACCCGGGAAGGGGCTCTTCCATTTCAAAGTAATGCCGTTCGGCCTGCACTCCGCCCCCGCCACGTTCCAACGACTTGTAGACTCCGTGCTCGGACCCGAATTAGAACCCCACGTGTTCGTATACCTCGACGACATCATAATAATTAGCGCGACATTCGAAGAACATCTCTGAATCCTACGGGAAGTCTTCCGACGGCTTCGCGACGCGAACTTAAAGCTCAAGCCGGCCAAGTGCCGATTCTGCGTAGACCGCCTACAATACCTAGGGCATATCGTCGACCGAGAAGGAATACGGACCGACCCCGAGAAAGTCAAAGCCGTCGCCCAGTGGCCGCGGCCACAAACCGTAAAGCAAATCCGACAATTCCTAGGCGTCGCCTCCTGGTACCGGCGATTTATACAAGACTTCGCGACCGTCGCCGCGTCCCTCACCGCGTTAACCCGCAAACACGCCCGGTGGGCATAGGGACCCGAGGAAGAAAACGCATTCGAACGATTAAAGACGACCCTGACCACCGCGCCGGTTCTTGCTTGCCCGGATTTCACGCGTCGTTTTTTCCTGCAGACCGACGCCAGCACCACCGGAGTAGGGGCCGTGCTAACGCAAAATTTCCCGAAGGGCGAACGAGTCATCGCCTACGCAAGCCGAACTCTCAATCAGGCCGAACGAAATTACAGCGCGACCGAGCTCGAATGCTTAGCCGTAATATGGGGAATCCGCCGCATGCGGGACTATCTCGAGGGGTACCCATTCACCGTTCTCACGAACCACCAGTCGCTCCGATGGTTGCAGAAAATCGACGCACCCACCGGGAGACTGGGCCGGTGGGCATTCGAGCTCCAGCAATACGACCTAGAGATCCGCTATAAGAAGGGAGCCCTTAACCGGGTGGCAGACGCGCTATCTCGCCAACCCACGACAGCCGCCGTTACCCACCCGCCCCGCTGCCCCTGGTATCGCCGCACATTGCGCGCCGTGCAACACGCCCCGCGCGAATATCCAGACTACGAAATAAAGGAGGGAAAACTACTCCGTCACGTACTCCACAGTCTCGATTTTAGAGAAACACCCGCCGACGAGCAATGGAAAGAGTGCGTAGCCAAAGACCGCCGCCCCAAAATCTTATACCAGAATCACGACGCCCCTACGGCTGGACATCTCGGGATCGCGAAAACAATCGCCCGGATCGCGCAGTACTATTATTGGCCCGGTATGTTTCGGGAAATAGCGCAGTACGTCCAAAACTGCTCAAAATGCTTAAAGCATAAAGTCGCGCAAACACGACCAGCCGGCACGCTACACGCCACTTCTGTCGTCCGCCCCTGGCAACAAGTCACGTTAGACTTAATAGGACCGCTGCCGCGCTCCAAGGGAGGGCATACATGGCTCCTGACCATGCAGGAACGTTTTTCAAAATGGCTGGAGATGCGTCCGTTACGTCGCGCCACCGCGCCTGCCGTTACGACGAACATTGCCGAAGCAATACTGTACCGACACGGATGCCCCGAGGTAATCCTGTCAGATAATGGGACGCAGCTCTGGTCTGCGAAACTTGAAAAAATGCTAGCCGCACATCACGTGCGGCATGCATATACACCCGTGCACGCGCCACATTGCAACCCGGTAGAACGAACAAACCGCGTAGTAAAGACAATGGTATCACAATATGTAGACCAAAATCATCGCAATTGGGACGAGCGAATACCAGAGTCGCAATTCGCGTACAATACGGCGCGGCACGAGGCAACCGGATACACCCCTGCATATCTCGTCTACGGTCACGAGCCGGTATCCCCTATCAATCGCGACGCCGCACCGAAAACCGCCGCACCGCCGCCCGACGAAAAGCGCCGACATCTCGAGGAGGAGGCCTTCGAACTCGCGAGAATACATCTCGCACACGCGTTTCAGCGACAACAGAAGTACTATAATCTCCGACGACGAGCATGGACACCAAAAATTGGAGACTGGGTATGGAAGCGTGAGTACCCACTCTCCAATAAAGCCGCAGCATTCAACGCAAAACTCGCGCCGAAATTCAGAGGCCCCCTCGAGGTACGACGTATAGTATCCCCCGTAATCGTGGACCTGCGCGATAAGAGCGGCAAGTGGATCCGACATATCCACGTACAAGACTTGAAAGCCGCGCCGGAAACCCCCCCTCCAGGCGACGAGACCGGGGAAGAAAATGCCGAAACAGACAGCGAGAGCAACAGCGAAACCGACGCCGAAAACACCAGCGACCCCGACAACGACACCGAGGACAACAACGAGTATTAAACATTGCCCTATATCCCCTCCCGGACACCCGCTAAATAAACAAAAAGTCGGCTATATAAACGAGCCCCGAAGTCAAAAGACACACTCGAGTCAAATTTCCCGAGATGGAGACAGCCACGACCGAGAAAAGCATCCTTGAGGAGATCGAGGAACTCCTCGCCGAGCCCGTCAGTAGGTAAGCTAGGCCGGTTCTACCCCGGGGGCAATGAGGGGGGGTGAGGGGCGGGGGGGAACCGCGGGCGGGGGGGGGGGGGGGGGGGGGG